TTCTTCATGAGTGGACCAAACACATCGAGGTTGATTGTCACTACATTTGTGCTTAAGTTCAGTCCAAGGTTATTTAAACTCACTACACTCGTAGCCAAGATCAACCAGAAGATCTTTTTACCATAGCTCTGCCGTTCACTCACTTTCAAGGACTGCTTTTCAATCTTGGCTCAGTTAATCCGTTTGATCTAGCTTGAGGGAGAGTATTGGAAGTTACTCTCCTACTTTACAATAGTCCTGTGTGCCTTAATTCCAGGAGCATGCCTTAATTCGAGGAGAGTTGCTATCATTTCCATGTCCTGCAGTTTAAGGTTAACTCAAGGAAGAGATTGAGTGGTTTGTACACAATCTTTGTACGTATCTTTTACCTTGTAGCTTCTGTACATTTCTTACATATACATGAATATACAATAAGGAAATTTCTACTCATATCTTATTTCATTGTATCTTGTAGGCATATTTGTATGCCTTTAAATTACATTGTAGTGGAGAAAAATAAAATCTTAAAGAAAAGACATTGTAACGCATGTTTGAACTTGGTTCGATTTTCAAAGATTAGTGAAATATTCTCCAACTTCAAATTTCATCATATTTATCTCCATTTTCAAGTACTTTATGGGCGAAAATTAAGGGTAATTATATTAACATAAGAATTTTTTGAGTTTCAATATATTTTGATTGCACTCAAAGCTGTCAATTTACATCCGTTGTAGTTCTTATGTTCCCAACAATTTTCGTCAATTTGTCATACTCAATCTTCAACTAATTAACATTAACTTGTCTTTGACAATCAGTTTCGCCCATAAAGTACATCTAGAGGGTGTACAAATGGCTTATTTGCCTATTATAATTTTAAAAAATAAATATAAATATGCAAAAAAAAAAAAAAATTCCTCATTCGTAAACAGCAAAGAATATTTTGACAAAAATTATAGTCAATGACGAAATGTACTAATTAATAGAAGATTGAGGATAAAATTTTAATGAAAAAAGTTAGGGAATAACTGCTATAATGAAAAAAAAGTTGAGTACCTTAAATGTCATTAAAATATACCACAACTAATAAAAACCGTGAGTGAATATAATTGCCCTTTTTTAACCAAATATCCTAGTTAAAACATGACGATCAAATAGAGTATATAAAATCAATCATGGATAATAAAGTATGTATAAATTCCATTATTAATATATAAATATAATATTTCGTCGTTACTATTACAAATAACATTAACTGCATGTACATATGTAATTATATTAATATATTTGGCCATGTTTGGAATACAACATTGGAACAAAGGAAAAAAAATGGTTTTACCAAACTTCTTATTTCTACAAAGCCATCCAGTCTCCAGCTTCATCTTGTGCAAGATTTTACAAAACTTAGCGCAGCCACCAGTTGCAGCGGCCCTCCCTTGATCTAGNTACAAAGCCATCCAGTCTCCAGCTTCATCTTGAGCAAGATTTTACAAATCTTAGCGCAGCCACCAGTTTCAGCGGCCCTCCCTTGATCTAGCGGCACAGAAGTTAATCAGTATCACCTCAGCTTGGTGGAGGTCGGCCGCCATTTGAGGTGGCTTTAGGTTATTCCGGCAGAGTGGACATGTCTTGTGCCCATATCCTAGCCACCTGTCTATGCAAACTCTATGATAAAGATGGTTGCATCTCAGCTCTCTAACCTCATCCCCTTCATCAATTCTGCATAAGCAAACAGCACATTCCACCGATATATCCTCACATTCTGCTTTATTATTATTATTTTCGTAACGCCTTACAGTAAGGTCATCAACATAGTCTGGTAACTCGATTTCGCAAGGTTGAAAGAAGGATTGGAGAAGGAGGTAATTCATTGCCCACTTAAGCTGGGATGCAATCAGAACTATGTAGTTCAATACAACAGATTGCTGAAACTTTATATGAATCATCTTATGTACTGTTGTATTGGTGCAGATTGCTTTTCAAGGGAATGGTAGAGGCTGATGCAGTCGTGTCATAGTAAGGTATATATATATATAATATGTTAGAGAGAGTAAATATATTATTTTAAAATAAAGGTTTTAAGTTTGTTTTTTAAAATAATTTTTTACTTTTATTTTATTTTAATTATTTCATATATATAATGTAAAGTTACTTTTTACCTCTTTTAAAATGAATGAAAATGGTAAAAAAAAGGTTGAGTGCCCATACTGAAACTGAAACATTATATAAAATTGGACGGTTTTGATAAAATAAAATAAAATTGAATGATCATGATAACACTAATATAAAGTTGGGTGGGCACAAGTGAATTTAATCCCATTTACTTTTACTCCAATTGTTAAATCCAATATGAATGGATAACCTTGAAAACTAGTCATAATCTTGAATGCACGCCACAAATAATATATTTCACTGCTTAACATTTGAATATTCCCGTGTATGTTCCACTAAATTAGGTAAATTAGTACACAAAGATGTTTACGTTTTGATGTGAAAAGTTCTTGGATTAATTTCCAATCTCCTGACCACTTTTCGATTTTTTATTTTTCAATTAAGAAAAAAAATTATTATTATATATGGTAATTGAATTGAATTTCATTAAGAAAGAGTTTGAGTGACAAAATCTGTATCAGAAGGATATATTTTTTGTGCAGTAATTTTAATTATTAACAAAAAATTCACTCTATTGTGCAATTTATCGAGGGATATTAGTGATGAATTACTGCGAGTAAATTTAATTTTTTCAATAAATATCACTTTGAAATGAATAAAATGTGCAAAATATCGTTTTTAACTTGTGGTATTATTTCTAGTATCTCTCTGCGTGTTAGAAAGGTTCATTCATCACCAGTGATATTAAGCACCAACTTAGATGGCAATTATATGACATTAAATAATAAATGTATTTAAATGTAAAATTACTTGTTTTATTTAATTAAACCTATAAAATATAATTAATTAGACTGATGTTATGGTACTACTAATATTAAAATGCATTATTATGTTAGAAATCAAGAAATTACCGAGAACAACATTATTTTAGATGACNTTTTTTAAAATAATTTTTTACTTTTATTTTATTTTAATTATTTCATATATATAATGTAAAGTTACTTTTTACCTCTTTTAAAATTAATGAAAATGATAAAAAAAAGGTTGAGTGGCCATACTGAAACTGAAACGTTATATAAAATTGGATGGTTTTGGTAAAATAAAATCAAATTGGATCATCATGATGACACTAATATAAAGTTGGGTGGGCACAAGTGAATTTAACCCCATTTACTTTTACTCCAATTGTTAAATCCAATATGAATTGATAACCTTGAAAACTAGTCATAATCTTGAATGCACGCCACAAATAATATATTTCACTGCTTAACAATTGAATATTCCCGTGTATGTTCCACTAAATTAGGTAAATTAGTACACAAAGATGTTTACGTTTTGATGTGAAAAGTTCTTGGATTAATTTCCAATCTCCTGACCACTTTTCGAATTTTTTATTTTTCAATTAAGAAAAAAAATTATTATTATATATGGTAATTGAATTGAATTTCATTAAGAAAGAGTTTGAGTGACATAACACAAAATCTGTATCAGAAGGATATATTTTTTGTGCAGTAATTTTAATTATTAACAAAAAATTAACTCTATTGTGCAATTTATCGATGGATATTAGTGATGAATTACTGCGATTAAATTTAATTTTTTCAATAAATATCACTTTGAAATGAATAAAATGTGGAAAATATCGTTTTTAACTTGTGGTATTATTTCTAGTATCTCTCTGCGTGTTAGAAAGGAAAATGTCATTCATCACCAGTGACATTAAGCACCAACTTAGATGGCAATTATATGACATTAAATGATAAATTTATTTAAATATAAAATTACTTGTTTTATTTAATTAAACCTATAAAATATAATTAATTAGACTGATGTTATAGTACTACTAATATTAAAATGCATTATTATGTTAGAAATCAAGAAATTATCGAGAACAACATTATTTTAGATGACNCGAGAACAACATTATTTTAGATGACAGAAGAAAGCTGCCGCCCCATCCATCTAGAATCTTTATTTGCAGCAGCAGTTCATAATTGCAGTCTTTTGGTCTTGGTCTTCAACTTCACAATTTCCTCGAAAGGCGCTTCACCATAGTAATAGATTATGAATTTTTTCCCTTGTACAGTCCACAAGCAGCAGCCCTCATAAATTATGATTGAAAAAGAATTTGAAAAAAAAAATGAGTTATCAAAAATTGGAGCCAAACATTTTCTTAAGGAAGTAGCATGACTCAATTTTTTAACTATGTCATTATATTCAAAGTTGGCTTTAAACTAATAGAATTTGCACGTGGTAAACAAAATTCTTATGCCAAACAATTTCAGCCATTAAGTTGGAATAGAACTTGCACATGATGGGCGGAATGTGGATCGTATGGATTTTATTTCTTCAAATTTGATTTAATTTAATGGTATGTAACATGTCTTTGGTAATTGCTAAAAATTCAAGAAGGAATTGTAGTTTAAAATAGAAATTTATCATATGTGGAAGACTATTCCAACTAACAAAGAAATTGTTCTGAATAGGATTTTCACGTTCAAGTTCTGTTAATTTTCAAATATAAACTATTAAAATTTGAAATTTTATCTTAAAATGTCAATTTTGTGAATGTGAGTAATCCAAACATTTGTATATTGGTTTATATTTTTATCTTTATTTGATGTGGAATTTATCCCTAATATGTTCCCTTAAGATGGTCACTCGTTTGAACAAATCAATCTTAATATTACATGCCCATTTTTTAAGTCTTAATCGAATCGAGTTACTCGTTAGAATTTAATTGACTCTATACTATATTAAGATGAGTAATTCAAACTCTTATAAGTGATGTATGTTTTTACTTGATATAAAATTTTATCGCTTAACATGCACAGCTTGTTTGTGCAAATCAATCTAGGAATTTGCATATTTATTTTTTAAATATTAATCAGATCGAATTACTCGTTCGAGTTTAACAAATTCTGATACAATATTAAAACTTAGAGTTCTATCTTAAAAAGTCAACTTTGTTAAGAGAAATACCACAAATCCTTATAGGTTGGTTTGTATTATCATTTATTTGATGTGACAATTATCCGTTGATTTGCTCTTACAAGATGGTGGTTTGCTTGAGCATACCAATCTTAAAATTCGAGTGCTCATTTTTTTAGTCTTAATTTGATCGAATTTCCCGTTGGAACTTAATGGAATCTGATATCATAGTGAGACTTAGGGTTCCATCTTAAAATGTCAACATTTCTAATAGTAATAGCTCAAACATTTATAAGTTGGTCCATATTTTTATTTTTATTTGATGTGAAATTTTATCTCTTAATATATCCCTGCAAAATGGTGGCATTTTTTGAGCAGACCAATCTTGAAATTCGTATGCTCATTTTTTTCAGTCTTAATCTGATCGAATTGATCGTTAGAGTTTAATGATCTCTAATACCATATTAAGATTTGTGGTTCTATATTAAAAGGTTAACATTGTTAAGAGGTGTAACCCAAACTTTTATATGTTAGTTTATTTTTTTTTTCTCTTTATTGGATGTCTCCTTAACAATGACTCGAACCTCTAAGATTTTGGTGGTATTTCGAATTGAATCGTTATTAATTTTTCATATATTTTTTGTTGTTTTAGGATAAAACCTTGATCTTGAGTACGTTGATGATTAATAAGAAGAAAACAAGTGGGATCGATGCATTTTGGGAAAAAGAAATGCAAAGAAATAAGTAATAAACTGACTAAGCGGAACATGTGAAGAAACTAGAATATTAAAGTTTTTCTGCAGATATTTATATTATGAAAATTATATGCCATTGGAACAGTTTGGAGTTCAGCGAATTTCACTAACCTCGGTAAAGAGTTATTGTATAAAAGATTTTGTGTTTCCATCCAAACTACCAGGCTGAGCACACTTTTGATGCTCGAGCTGCCAGTTTTGATGCTAGAGTGACAGAAGGGGTGAAAATCAGAACATAGGGTACGGCTCAAGCAGCAAAAATCCATGTTCAAGCAGGACCCCTGGAGCTTTCTTTCCGGATCGTTCGGGGAACTTAAGGCACGATTTTGAAAACCTTATTTCATGTCTTTATATATTAGATCTCTTGTACTTCATAAGATAGTTTGAATGAGGTAAAAATATACAATTTGCATTTAGGGTTTGGTGAATTGGAAGTAGATTTGAAGGGTTTTAAAGTTTGATGCTTATTGATTCTATATTATTTCTTAATCTCGTGATGTTGACCTTAACATTATGTATTTGTTTACTTATGTATATGTATATAATCTAACATTTTGAAGCTCTAATTCAAATTTTCTTTTTTGACTTCGAGTGTAAGTTTTTGATGGATGATTTGTAATTGATTTCACGCTTTAAGTTATATAGCCAATAGTTCAATGATTTATGAGCTATATTGACACCGAGTAGTGATATGCATGTTTGAAAACTATATTACATAGATTTTGCATAGGGGATATAGATATGTTATTATCGTTTATGAGAGCACTATGTGATGTTGGGTTTTTACTTATTCTCAACATTCATAGAGATGTAGGTAGTTTATAGAGTTAATTACATCAACGATGATTGAAGTTTTGAACAATTACGTCAATAGTAATTTGAAGTTATGTTTTTACCGTAATAGATAAGCAAGTTTCTAGCAATTCAGTCAATGATCACATGTTTAAAAAGAAAAAAAATACTAGTATTTCATCCTATGTAGCGCAGTTAAGTGCCAAATGTCACCAAATAACATTATTCAAGTGGCAACATGGATGTAGAATAGGTAATCTGGAAGGTAACTAACTTAATGAACAAGCTGACGCAAATGGTTCCATTTGATGCATTAAAAACGTATGAAACTGTTGTAGTGTGATCCAAATTCCATT